ATAGTTCTATCGTATTCAGGAGATCGAAATTGATAAAAAACACTTGATTTTACTTACACCTTTGAAGGCCGCTAAAATTAGCCTTTTTTTATCCTCCTTTAATTAAATATTATTTTAGAATTACAAAAAAATATAGTTGTTACTTTTAAACTTTTAAAGTAATGCGTTACTTTTTAAAATCAATAACGAGTAACGACGGTAAAGAGTTACATTTTGCGATTTATTTTTTACAAATAAGTATAATAAATTATTTTAAAAAAATGACGTGCTATTTTTTTAAAGTAACGTTTCTAGCCTTGGTGATAACTTTTATCAACACATTTTTTGTGTTAAAAAATAAATAGCGTGTAAGAAGCACATACACTTCTTCTGATAATTTATAAAAAAAAATGACGTCAATTGCTAGGCATCTTATATATAGCGGATGTGTACATATATGTATAAAACAAGTTTTTCAATCTTTAGCGTCTGTTGCGTATATAGTTGTTGCGAATATGTTAATGGATCCACTACGCAGTTCTATGCATTCCGCGTCGCCGAGCGAAGCGGTAAGCAAACACGGCGAACAGACCATAAAGAAAGCATCGTTTTGAATAAATAAGGAAATAGCCAAGTTCGGCGCTAGCCTTACCGCTCGACGTCGCGTCCGACGTCGCGTTCGGCGTCTTTGTAAAAACAAAGGGAACGGCAGGACCAACCCATGAGTCTCGCATGATTCAGGATTGGTTCATGCTCGCCAAGAGTTTCCCTATATAATAATATAAGGGACAGTCCTGATGGGCCTAAACAGGTACAGATACGATTTTCGATAGCGAAGCGTACGCATAGAAAACGTAAAACCGAGTCCTCTCACAGAGGCCGAGTCCTCTCGTATCATATAAATTCGTGTATATATATTTTTGGTGTATTAGACAAGTCTCAGTAATAATAAACATTTTTTAAAAAACTAATACGTGGAGTGACCTTTCCCGTATATACAACCCAGTGTCTTTGGTTTTCAGTCTTTGATATTACATCAAATCAAGCAAGCGAGAAGTTGGGCAATCAATAAATAATACTTATTTCTTAATCCCTGTGTTAATGTCACATATTATGAGTAGTAAACAAAACATGAAAATTGACACACGTAATACTTCAATACAAAATTTTTACGCCGGACAGTCAGTCTTTATTACAGGTATTTATATTTTATTATGCAAATACAATTTATTACAAAATATACCTTTTATATATCGAAAATGTATATCAAATTTTATTGCACATAAAATTACTTTGTAAACATTTATGCTATAATGTAATAAAAATAACAATAATTTTAATGCAATAAGAAATAATTTTCAAAGTTTGTGTAAGTGTGTGCATATATGTGTAAAAAGATAAAAATCAATTACATCAAATTTTTAGTAACATAATTCGTTAGCAGTACATTGCTTAAACATTAGTTATATGGCATTAAGAATATATTGGGCCAATATTTTCCGAATAAAACCAATATTGGCTATAAATTAAATGCAAATGCATTACCAGCATTGAACACCTAATAAAATTAATATTTTGTAAAAACTGAAATACTAGTTTTTATTTATATTATCTTTTGATTACACAATTATTAGTGACCATGTCTTATCATTATTTAGATAGCAGAAAAGTGAATAGAACTTTGTGGAGAATTTAAAAAACATTTGCAGTATGTAGTAGAAAAATAAATATTTAAGAGTTTTTATGAGCCATTTATAATCAAATTTATCTTAAAATAATCTCCCGAAATTTATTATAATGCACATTTCACAATCTAGAAGATAGAAAAGGTTTTTTAGAAGATTTCGAGTGATTTAACACTTCAGCACAACACAAAATATAACTCCTATATCTCACAATTAAATTGCTTGTGATTCTTTCATTTTAAAAAGAACTGTGGTATTTGAACATAAATCATAAATAGGTATCAGAAATATAAAATATTTTGTTGAGATCTGTGAAACTCTCCCAGTTAATTGTTTATGATTTTCACGTTATCGCTACGTTTACACTTTATCTCTGCATATAATTTTATTTTACTATTTTATTTTGTAGGGGGCACCGGATTTCTCGGAAAGGTTTTAATTGAAAAACTGCTACGGAGCTGCTCCGACATTAAAGCGATATATTTACTGATGCGTTCGAAGAAAGATAAAAGTCCCGAAAGTCGACTGGACGAAATGTTTAACAGTATAGTGAGTATTCAAAATACATTGAACTAACATAATTTGATAAATAAAACTGTAACATCTAAGGGAAATGGTTACTCTTGTGCATGAAAAAAATTATTTTTTGTTGGTAAGAATGGAAAAGATTATTGATTTTTATCAATGGGTTCTATACATACTAACATAATGTGAATTGTTGCTACAAAATTATGTATGTACTTTGTAGCTTTATGATCGAGTAAGAGTGGAAGAACCCAATTTCCGTAAAAAAATCGTACCAATTATGGGCGATCTTGAAATCGAAGACTTAGGACTATCGAAAAATGACAAGGATATATTGATACATAATAAGGTAAGAAACCCAAATTATATCTTATTATATGTATTATATTATTATATGTATTTGTAATATGTTACACATATTTTATATAAATTTATAACTATCATTAAAATAGTCACAGAAATAATTCAATTCTTCTATTTCTTCTTTATACATTTAAAATATTATTCTATAACACCAAATTAATTACAGATATCAATAATTTTTCATGTGGCAGCGATTGTACGCTTCCAAGAAAAATTCAAAGTTCCTACAATAATAAATGTAAATTCTACCGATATCATTTTGAATATTGCTAAACGTATGCCAAATTTAAAGGTAATTTTTCTTCTAATAATATTTAAAATGTTAATAATAATAACATTGCTCGAAACTAAAATGATTTTGGAATTATAATTGTATATTTCTCAAAATTGTGACGAGATTGAGCAATTTGGTAAATGGTACTGTTATATTCAGCAAATTAAAAAACTACAGCAAACAACTACTCTCATTCTTGCATGAAATAGATTTTTTGTTTGACAGTATAATTGAAAAGAGTTCTGATTTTTATCAATAAGCTCTATACATATTGGGGAGGGGGAGAGAGAGAGAGAGAAAGAGAGGCGAAGGCGGTTGTGTGAAAGTCACAGTTATGTTTACGCTGTATAGAAAGTCATATTTTACGAAAAAAGGGTTAACTTTACGCAAGTATGTCTTTTTTTTATATTATTATTTACAACTTTGATTACCAATCATCGAAAGTGGACTACCAAATGTCAGTAAGCAACCACCAAACAAATGCTTACAGTTATGATTACTTAAAATACGAGTTAAGAACATCTGTCTCATTTCAATGTATATATACATATATATATATATATATATATATATATATATATATATATTGATTGATTATAATTATATTATATATTATATATTAAAGTGAAATCGATGTCCCTCACCTCGCGTAACTGTCACTTTTCAAAGTCAGCCACCTCCCTGTCAGATGTAACTGTAAGCGTAGGGAAAGCTCTCTCTAGTACATATAGAGCTCATTGATTTTTATGCACTTACTCGTTTAAAATAAATTAATAAAAAAGTAATAAACAATGATGTTAAACAAATACTGATATTTATTTTATAGTCATTTATTTACATATCAACCACATATTCGAATTTCCATGTGAAATATATCGACGAACGTTTCTATACATATCCTATTAATCACAAAGATCTCATTACATTTACACATACTTTATCCGAAAACGAAATGGAGGAGAAGGTAACCAAGTGCGTATTTATTTTTGTTCTTAGTAGAATAAAATAATTTATATTATAATTATAGCAAGACGAAAATAACTAAAGTTTGTTTGTAGAATTATTTATTAAAATTCGTACACGTCTTAATGGTTCGCGACTCACAATCAATCCGACGATTTCCTTTTTCACTATTCATTTCTC